AAAATGTTTCTCTCTCTTGAATTTCTCTCTTTCTCTCTCCTCACCATGAACATGTACACAATCACACTACAAAGTAGTATAGGGTCCAAATATATTGAAGAATACTATAAATAAATCAAGGCCTAAAAGCATGAATGCTGCATCTTTGAAGGTCTTCTTCGAACAAGGTTTGCTTTATACGCGAGATGTAAAAGCATGGAAATAAAACCAAAGCAAGGGGCAAAAGTTGAGGGCTTATTGCACCGAATATTCCCCTCTTTTGTGATTAAACAATGGATTTCTCAAAGTAAGATACACCCCCATTGATATTCTACCGCCCCTTGACCTCCAAAAGCAAATCAAAATGCCCATTCTTTCCCTTTGAATTTTCCTATAATGGCCCTCTCCACTTGAAATGCCATAAAAATGACCTTAAACTAACCCATGGAAGACTTCAAGTTTTAAAAACAATTTAAAGCTTGCACACTTGAGCCACCATTCTTATCCAAGATCCTAAGGTGATTTACCCTACCACAAGAATCATTCTCAACCGATATGATTCACCACTACTAGTGGGATGCCGTCGTTTTTGTTCCTCTCATCGCATCTAGGCCTTGTTTTTTCCTACTTTTTTTTTTCCTTTTTTTAAAAAAATTTATTTATATTCAATTAATTACTTTTTTTCTTTTCCTTTTTTATATCTTTTATCCGTTTACCGTTCGGTTCAAAGTAGTGTTTAAAAAACCGAATCGATTGGGCGAATTTTCCATCTAAAACACCAATATGGAGGGTCGAATTGAATTGATTCTCCATATGATAATCAATTTAAAAAAATATTAAAATTTTTTAAAGAAAGAAAAGTAAAAAAAAAGTCAAAAAATGCAGCACATGGAAACTGCTTGGTACGGCTAGTCCGAGTCATCCGGTTCCCTTATACTCACCCGGTTGCTTGACAAAACCAAGTGAAACCCCATTGATTCATGCTCCGGATTGGCGATTCTTGATAAAGACCATTGGTTTTAAAATACTAGTTCACATCTCAAATTTTGAGGTTTTTTATTCCAAAACAAACCCACTCTAATACTCATGTTTTATTTATGTTTAATTAACCATACGTAGTGATCAAATATTCCATTTTTTTTACTCCCCTTATTTTATTAAGTTTCTCGAAATCGTATGGTTGTTATTATTTTGGATGGGTCAGGACTTGAACTTAAGACATAGGGTTCCAATTGTGAAATATAACAACTCAAGCCTAAGCATGATTTCTATTTTCTTTCACTCTTTCACACTAGTTGCCAAATCTTTCCACTTAAACATATATATATTTTATATGTTATCCCAATCAACAACAAAATTGTTGAAAAAAACCAATGTCTCCTTATAAAATGTTTTTTATGTTTTATTCAAATTTCTTTTTTTAAAAAAGATGAATTTATTAAATTACTCACAAGACATGAACATTAACAATTGCCCATGTCAAGTTTTGATATACCTATAAAAAATACAAGGGCTTGACTTGGAATAGTTGCAATCGCGCAAAACGTTACATACTTCATTTGTCATAAGTATTTTAACAAATTTTCAACAAAAAAAATTATATAAAAAAATTAAAAACAAACAAAAAAATTACAAATTACCGTAACTAACCCTTGTTCATTTCTTGTTATACTTGAGTAATTAATAGAAAATGGGCGTACACAAAATTATATTCCTCTCTACTCTTAAGAAGTGCAAGGGAGGGCCTTCTACTATGAATGTCGTATAGAGGGTGTTTTTGTAATTATTTAGAAAACCGGGCTACATTTTGTGGCGGTGATGGGTACAATGGCGTCCTAACCACAAGCAAATGATAATGTAAAGGTGTCTTGGTTAGCTTGGACATGTTCCCTCCATTAAACTCCCCTTAAACCTCCATTTGGGATCCGCTCCAACGGTTCTTATGGTTTTTATTCATACAAAAATTCCTTAGTTCTTTTTAAAATCAGCAAGCATATGGACATATGCTCCCGCGGGAGCATATGAAATCATTTTCACTTTTTTACATAATGAGCAACGGGTACGAAGAACTAGAGTCCGTACCCGAAAGCATTCGAAGACAATAAGGAACGCCCCCGAAGGCAGGTTTTATGACCAAAATACCCTTTATTCTCTGCAAAATGACAAATCGTAACTAAATTTCTTTTTTTTTTGGCTTATCCTTTATTTTTTTCAGATCGTAAGAGGGACCGCTGGTCCACCGTAAAATTTTCAGCCTTCGAAGTAAAAAAAAATCTTTTACATAATTATCACCCCTAAAGCTGGAGGCTATTTTCGTCCGCTAAAGATATCAGGAACCGTAAGTTCCATGTCAATTCTCCAAATCGGCGGGTCAATTTCGCTAGAAAAAGCCATTCCACGTGGCGTAATCAGGTGAAACCTGAGCTCCACGTTGGCATATGGGGTCACCCATCCCGTCACATGCAGGTGACCGCCACGTCAACGAAAAGATAGTTCTCAGCCGGTCATGGGAAGCGGGAACCTTTCCAATGTGGACAGGCATTTGACGGTCTTTTCACAACTCAGCGTGTGTTTCGTTAACGGAAAGCGCACCGTGATCCGAGGGTTACAGCGATTTGGGCCGGGGCGAGGCCACCCTTTGTCCCAACCGCAGCATTGGCCCTAGCTCGACTTCGAAGTCGAGGTTGAGATAGATGGATGACACGAAAATAAAGGCTTGAATTTGAAATGAATTTATTAAAAATAATTTATATGCGGCAGTAATAAACTATCAAATAAGAGAGATTAGATTTTGGTGGGCTGGTTATATGTAGAAAGTTCAACATCCATTGAAAGATACAAAATAATGACAAAAGATATACCCAAAAAAATGCGATTAAAAGTAGTCTGATACAGCTTGTAATAGAATAGAATAAAAACCATAATTCAAATAGCCAAATTCAATTAATTTTAAAAAAAATTAAAACGACAACGACGATGAATATTTTTTCTAACTAATTAAGGTGGCTAAACAAATCCCACTGTTAACACCCTACCCAAAAAAGTCGCCATAATCCATGCAAACGCATGCGACCACCGTCCAATTCAAGGAGTGAAGCAAAAGAGAGCTAGGGAACTCGAAGCAAGTTGCATAATCCATCTCCCCATCGCTGTTCATCAATTGAATAGACGGTGATTAACATTGGTGATCACCTAGTTTTATTGTGTGTAATTGTTGTGTGTATTAGTGGTATATACCGGCTCTAGTTCATGGGAGGGAAAGGAAGGGAAGGGAAGATTCTTGGCATAGTTGGTAAAAGAGGGATGTCACATTTTGCAGGGAGATTTGATGTGGACTGCCAAATCATTTCGGCTTTACTTGACGCCGTCAAACTTAATTGACGCAGTCATTTTATGCAATCAAAATATTACTGAAATACCCTCGTGTTTTGATTAAAATGCCATGAAAGTACTAACTATTTTATTCGAAGCCGATGTACATCAACAAGCCCCACAAAGTTTATGGGAGAATGGATCGATTGTGCACGACACGAAAATAGCTAATCCTCTACATGTTCTCTTCAAAATCTATTAGTAGATAAAGGGAGAGAGCGGCTCATAACTCTCTAAAGGTAAGAGTCGTCAATATTATCATTATAAGTAGTTTTTTTTTTTTTTTAAATTATTTGGAATCAATTACACGAATCATGGTTTGTCATTTTAATTTATCTAAAACTATATGTTTAATGAGGTTATAAGTCTATATACTTTTCTAGCTTACTTTCAACGACACCTTTTGTGCCTATCGGTCTTTTTTAGCCTTCCATTTGAAAAAAGAGCGTATAACTATCTAAATAAATAGGAGCTCGTAAATGTAACTTTTAACGCAATAATGACTCCCAATGGCTTATGAGCATTGACTTGAATAAACAGATCAGAATGTATAATTAAATCGATCACCAGTTTGATCTGCAACAAATTGGAAAAATCAGTGTTTTGAAATTTAGATAAGTGTTGACATATCATTTCTCCATAGATCTGTGTTGGATAACTGAATCAGCAAATCAAATTAGATTTGAAAGAGTCCAAGCAATGTTCAAAAAAATGTACATGGTTTTTCCACAATCCAAATTAGATTAGAAAGAGTGCAAACATTGTTCCAAAAAAGTGTATATAGTTGTGATCCAGAGGGGCTCTAAAAAAACATTCAATAAATTAAAAAAATATGGAAGGTTGAACCAATAGCATCCTAGAATTGGTAGTTCCTAACTAGATTTGCAAACTAGAATATAAATTTCCAGGTTTTAAGTTATTCAAAAAATTATATGAAAAGAATATAAAAATTGAAAATCAGACAATTACATGAGAGATGTACAACACTAATATAAACATTTTGGTTACAAATTCACGCATTTTCAAGCAGGAGGGGGAGGGGAAAGATATTGATTATCCGTGTGAAGGGGCAGATAAAGAGATCCTACCCCTTAGAGTAGCATGTAATAGCTACTTTTTCAAATAGGCGCATCACGCTCGGTATTTCTATCAAATTGGGGGCTTTCTTTTATCATGCATGAGTCATGAGTATGAGAGAGAGAAACGCAAGAACGAATGAAGGTAAAGGATTTGACAGAGATAGAGCGAGAAAGAGAGAGCTATATTAAAAGCAAGGAATAGTTTTAGAGAGAGAAAGACGTTGCCGGGGTTCTCCGAGCCAACCAGCCTGCCTGCCGCATGGTAGACAGGTAGAGCTGGCCAAGTAAAAGAATATAATAAATTTTAGAGAGAGAAAGAGCCAGAGTATATTAGAGAGAGGAAGAGAGAATTTTAGAGAGAGAAAGAGCGAGGATTTGGGGCCGACGGTAACGGTTTCCGTTAAATGAAAAGGGCGGTCCGTTTTCCAAGACGGCCGTCAAGGACTGATAGAGCGCCGGCAAAAGGACTGCGTTGCAGTATGAAGCACTTAATGCTAGCCGCCCTCTCTCTTTCTCCCTTTATCTCTCCTCTCTCTCTCTCTCTCTCTCTCTTCCTGCGAGCCTAACCGTACGGTCTCGCTAACCTAACCACGGTTGGAGTTTAACCCATCTCACTTAACCGCGGTTTGTTACACTCACTGGAGTGAAACGCTTGTATAAGGGCCTCGAGAAAAGCGGTTTTCTGGGATTCGGTTCAGGCCGAGTGCGGTTTTAGGCGGTTTTTTCTACCGGTTTCGACAGATAAAGAGGTTTTCTGGTGAGTTTTCGTAGTTTTACGAGCGGTTCCGCAGCTTCGAGTGTTTGGGAAGGCCGTTTATTGAGTGGAAAAACGGTTTATTAGTGGGATAAGTTGATCTGGTTTTTGGTAAGGGATTTGGGAGTGGCCATTTCCGAGTTTTTGTGGTTTTGTGTGGGGAATCGGAGGTATTCAAGGGGATTTCGATGAAGCAGAGGTTTTTGACGGGCTTATGGGGTAGTTGAAGCTCTGGAATCTAGGGTTTATACGTGGATTGCTGGTATCGTGGTTAGAGATCAAGGTTTTTGAGGTGTTTTCATGGCGTATGCTGAGGAATTTAGGGGCGCTTTACCTCAGCCTGAACAAAGCTTGGGCATGTTTCCTCAGAATTTGTCATCGGAATGCTCTGCGCCAGGTGTGTGATCTAGAGAGAGAGGCATTGAGAGAGGGTGAAGATAGAGAGAGGACTCATTGTGCTGTTTCATTTCTACATTTCAGAGTCTTCCATGATTGTTGCTTTGCTGAATCACACGCACAGCGAGAGAGAGAGAGAGAGAGGAGAGGAGGAGGGAGAGGGAGGAGGGAGGGAGGGAGGGAGAGAGAGAGAGAGGTTTCTGTATTGTTCATTCATCCTAGCATGAGTGAGGAAGTGAGGTGTTTTTGTTGTTTCTCTTGTGCTTGGGAGACAGCGGCTTCTATGCTGTAGCTTTCCTCGAGAGAGAGAGCTTCTATTCTACGGTCATTTTTCAGTGCATGTGAAGTTCGTTTTTTGGTGCCCCTCTAAATCCTCCTTTTGATCGCAATGTATGATTCTTTGAAGGTCCAACAAATGATGCTCTGTATAGGGAGCTATGGCATGCCTGCGCGGGCCCTCTCGTTACCATACCTGGAGAAGGAGAGCGTGTTTATTACTTTCCTCAGGGTCATATGGAGCAGGTTTGTTGAAACATTAGTTACACGCTACTTACAATCTTTAAGGCTTTTCTCTGCTTTATCTTTCTTGTCTTGCTTTTGATTTCTATGTTCCGGGTGATTTACAGTCACTTTTCTGTATTTTATCTGTTCTTGGCACGTTATTCTTTTAAAATTTGACTAATTTGCATTCGTTACTTCAGGATATTGCTGTTTATGTTCCCCTGTTTCAGTTCAGCCTGCTTTATTGTTACGGTGTCTATCGTTAATGTGATTTCCTTGATAAATTTCTAAAGCTTTCTAGTGAATTTTCCTCCCTTCTATCAACTGATTGGCTTATATTAGAAGTTTATTTTTTCCGTTTATTTTCTCTGATGCTTTTTTTCGCGATTATTTATTCCAAGGTCATTGTTTTCAAGTGTCTACTATTTAGTGTGAGGGTTGTATTTAACCATGGATCATCATACGTTCTTGCTTTCTCTGCTATTACGTACAGTGGTAATCTTGTGTACGTAAACGGGTTAGAAATAGCAAAAAATTTGTGCAATGACCAACTCTTCTTGGTTGGGGTGAAATATGGTTTCTTAGAGGATCTTTTGCATTCGTTCTCTTCACTTGTGCTTTTGCTACTATTTTATTTCTCCGACTTGAATCCTCGGTGTTTTTTTGCAGCTAGAGGTTTCTATGAACCAGGGTGTTGAGCAGCAGGTGCCTCTTTTTAATCTCCCTTCTAAGATCCTCTGCAGAGTTATGCAAGTTCAGTTGCGGGTGTGTATCAGTATCAGTGCATTTCTTTATTTTGTTTTATTTTTTTTTTTGGTTGGTGTTAGTTTTGTTGCTTTATCCCAATTAATTGATTTTCTATTACCAGGCTGAGCCAGATAATGATGAGGTTTATGCACAATACACCTTGATACCAGAGTTAGATGTGAGTTCTTTACTTCTTAGTTGTTACTTTATTGCGCGCTCAATTTTTATGCCGACTGAACTACTTAAGTTATTCTGGTTAGCTTTCACAAATAAGCAGTGGTTTGGTGTTAAGAAAACATTACATCAACAGATTATCCTTTTTGAGGAGTATCTTATTGTTTAGCTGGAATTCAAACCTTGGTTTCGTAAAATGCTAATCTTGCTGCTCCTGCCTTGTGTGTTTTGAAGTTGTGATACTGGAACCTACGAGCTATTTTACATTTGAAACCATTGAGTAAAGCCCACTAATTAGTAATATACACTATTGGTGAATCAGCCGACTCACCTATTTTTGTGTATGACCTTTTGAATCGAGCATACTTCTAAGAGATGGAAAAGGTGTCTCCACTAAAATGTAAAATGGATTGTGAGAAAGAACAACTGAAAAACCGGTTTTTTTTGTTTTAAGATTTGCTAACCATAAAAGTTGGATTCAAAGTCCATCATTACGGTGGGTTTTGGAGGGGAGACACACCAGATGATTCGGCTGACTCCCCAAATACCTTTCCAATACAAATGCACAACTACATGACGTTTTGTGGTGATGTTTTGGTGTGCCTCTGTTATTTCACATTTGTCTGGAACAGCGACCTCACGATTTTTCAATGACAACAGTGTTTTGTCATGGATAGAAAAAGATGAAGCATTTGGAGGCTTGCTGAGAAGAGTTATACGGTGTCTATTTTGTTTGTAGCTTTTTAAATGATTGCACCAGTCTTACTCCTGTAGAGGTTTGCCATTAATATTTTCAAGTTTTGGCTGTCTTTTTTCTTTTGGTTGGCACGAAAAGTGATGTCTGCATCCTGGCCGCGCAGTGCGTAGGAGGGTGCCTGGGCGGCCCCAGTAGATTTTTTTTTCCCTGGTGTTTCTCTCTAAAATAGGTTCTAGTGGGTTTTAGGTTTCAAATGAATTTAAAAGCCTACAATTTTGCATCTTTAGTATTTAGGTTTCAAATGAACCTAAAAGCCTACAATTGTGCACCTTTAGTATTAATAAAATGTCCCAAAAATATCCTCAACGAAGGGCATTTACCCCCCTGGGCGGGGTGCAGGCCTTGGGTGGCTGCTTAGGCGAGTTGAGGCGGCCTAAGAGAGCACTCAGGGATATCCACTTTTTTTGGATGCTTACTCCTGGGCAATGCGCCTAGGCCCCGGAGCCGCCTAGGTGGTGGCCCAGGCGTTGGGAGGTCTGCTTTTGAAACACTGATCTTGACGTCATTTTTTTCCTTTTGGCAATAATGTCAGAATCACGAGTTATTGTGGAGTCCTCAATATCTGATTTGTTTGAACTTGTTATTTGTTGGCATAACTGGATAATGCCAAGCTACTTCTAGTTCTTTTTGGCAAAATTTGATTAATTTGGGGAGTCCTAAATATCTGATTTGTTTCAACTTGTTATTTGGCTGGCATAACTGGATAATACCAAGCTATTTCTAGTTCTTTTTGGCAAAATTTGATTCATTTGATATCCTATGTTGTTAGGCTGTCTACAATTTTAGTCTCTTTCCTTGTTATTTCAGTTAAATCTTGTGTTCTATATTTGCAGCAAAGTGAGCTGAGCAGTCCTGATTCTTGCCCCCCAGTGCCTCCTAAACCTGCTGTCCGTTCCTTTTGCAAGACTCTAACTGCCTCTGATACGAGCACACACGGTGGATTTTCTGTTCTTCGAAATCATGCTGATGAATGCCTTCCACCACTGGTCTGTTTTTTGTCAATGCTTTGTTGTGTTTTGGCTTGTTTTATTGGATGATGAACATTATATATGGAGCTTATGTTCTCTCCCTTTTTTTTATGTTCTATGCGTTCTTATACTATGTTGTCTGCCTTGATTTTTATGTTCTAAGCCTGCTTATAAGATTGTTCTCTGCTAAATGGAAATGCTGCCTTTGTTTGGTGTTAAATCTTTACTCTCATTTTATCTTGAAAACATGATTTCCTTATTCTAGTGGAATGTGTTGTGTATGTCTGTACTCTTGTTTCAGGATAAGACTCAGCAGCCCCCAACTCAGGAATTGGTGGCCAAGGATCTGCATGGAATAGAATGGCGTTTCAAGCACATATATAGAGGTATCTAGAGACATTTGATTTTTTTTTTTTGGTTTCTTTACTACTCTTTGAATTACAAGCTGTAAATGAGTTTGCTGTTGTTTTGTATCTATATGTTAATGAGCATGTTAAGTTTTGCAACTGCAACAATCTCATTTTACATCTCAGCAGTTCTTGTTCTCTGCTACATTGAAATGCCTCTTTGCATGATAGATTTGAGCCTAATTACTTGATTTTTTTTCTTCTGAAGGACTGACTTTTAACTCAAACTATTCTGTTGCTTGAAACTTCATTCTGCTGCTCTAGGCCTCTATATGCCATTCATTCCCTTTGTTCTCTCCACTTTATAAATAATTTTCCACATCATTCTCTTTGGCTATTGCAGGGCAGCCCCGAAGGCATTTGCTCACGACAGGTTGGAGTGTGTTTGTGAGCTCTAAGAGACTTGTTGCTGGTGATGCCTTTATTTTCCTGAGGTATATTTGGATTGGAGACTTTCATGTGTGATTTAATGTGTATCTGTTTAATAAGGTTTACAATGTAAATCTCATGTGCAGTGCTATAAGAAAGTACTTTTACTGTTTTAGGGGTGATAATGGAGAGCTTTTTGTGGGCATAAGGCGTCTATTGAGGCAGCAGAGCACCATGCCATCCTCTGTTATATCCAGTGATAGCATGCATCTTGGTGTGCTTGCTACTGCTACTCGTGCCATTTCCTTCCAATCCCTCTTCACTGTCTACTACAAACCAAGGTATGTAGTTTTCTGTGTCCTAATCAATCACTTCTTTTTGTGGGGAAGACACTAAATTCATCGTCCTTGTTTAAGTGATGTTGCTTATGTATTTCTGCTTGCTTTCTCATTATTTCACAGGACGAGCCCATCTGGGTTCATCATCGGTGTCAACAAGTACTTGGAAGCTATGAACCATAGGCTTTCAGTAGGGATGAGATTTAAGATGAAATTTGAAGGGGAAGATACTTCCGAGAGAAGGTTTCCATTTTTGCCTCTATCAACATTGACGTTTTATTTTATTTATTTATTAGCTCTCTCAAAAAAAATAAATTATTTGTTTAAAGATGAATCTCTATCCACATTCACATTTTGTGTGTTACTTTGGAGATGAGGATTGTTAACCATATTGATGTTACAGGTACACTGGTACAATTATCGGTGTTGGAGATGTTTCTCCTGGATGGAATGACTCACAATGGAGATCTCTCAAGGTTACTTGCATGTTCTTTCCCTTCTTTTTTTGTGAAAAGAACCCTGAGCTGTCTTTAAAGATTGCCTATTGTTTATCAGGTTCAATGGGATGAGTCCTCTGCTATCCGGCGGCCTGACAGGGTTTCTCCATGGGAGCTTGAACCCATTGTTTCAACTTCTCCTCTCACCACCACCATTCAGCCAAGAAACAAACGTGCCCGTTTGCCCAACATGCCAATGTCAAGAGAACGTTCAATCCTTGGTAGGATGAAATTTCAACCAAAACAATTGTTTCACCCTAATTGTTCAAAGGAAAATTGTTTCATGCGGCTCGACCGCTTTTCTACATATGCGGCCCAAAAAGTGTAAAGCATCCATCTTAGAGATGGATACAAGTAGGTGTTCCATCTAAAAACACTGAAAACTAATGGTTCTAATGTTTTTATACTAGAATTATTATTTTTAGTTTTTAAATTTTATTTATTTTTTCATATTCATGATTTCCATGTTAGAGGTTGCATGCCCTTAGAAATTGAGTCTTAAAATCCATCTCAAAAATAAATTTGTTAAGAGGTTACATATGCGGGCTTGGCCGCACAGAAACTGGGTCCTTGTTCAAATAAACTTCTAATCCTCTGTTCTTTTGATCCAATTAGGTGGCTGCAAGAATACAACAGACCCTAGTTCACCGTATTGGTATTCCTCTCAGACTACCCAGACATCTGAATTAAATTCGGATACTGAGGGAGAGAGTGGTCAGAGCCATATTTTGTGGGGTCAAAAGCAAATGGATCTAAAGAATGATGCTTTAGGCCACAGTCCTCGTCCTTCAACTGAGAATTGGATGAACCACTTTTCGAACCAGACTGAATCCACTCTTTTGAAATCTCCAAAGCTTCTTTTCCAGGATGGAGAGTTCAAACCAGAGCGTGCACGCTCAATTGGTTCAGCTTTTTCATCTGGCGAGCTCCAAAGTAAATGGGCACCATCAATGGCTGGCCATTCACAAACTGAAGGTTCAGTTGAACCTCATTCAGATCTCAATAGAGGCTGCCTCAGTGGGATGGTTACAAAGGAGAGGAAACCTGATAGTAATGGCTATAGATTGTTTGGTATTTTGATTGATAATAATTCTTCTCATGGAGAAGATTCTCTTCCTCAAACTGGTAAAATACCGGCAGCCATAGAGGAACATCCAGTTCAAGCTTCTGTAAATGGGCATAGCCAACCTGCCGATTCAGAAGATCCATCAAGGGTGGCAATTATTGAAGGGAAGTCCTCACACTCATCACCGAAGGATGTGCATAAGGCAAGCATATCAACTAGGAGTTGCACTAAGGTGTGCTGAAACACACTTCCATTTGCTGCATTAATTCATACACCTGTTTTCTCTACCAATTTTTAAAGCCCTCCATGTTTTGTGTTGGTTCATTGTGTGTTGTTTGTCAGGGTTTGTATGCATAGGTTGGTTATTTTCATTGTGAACTAACATGAAATGCATTGTCCCTTTAAATTCAGTGGCCTCTTTGTTTCTCTCTCTTAGCAGTGAGAATTCCATGGAAAACAGAAGCATGATTGTCTTAGTCTTCACTGTGCATCTATTTGAAATCTTTTAATCATCTGTTTGCAGGTTCTCATGCAAGGAATTGGTGTTGGGAGGGCTGTGGATCTGACAAAGTTAAATGGTTACCCTGATCTCATAAAAGAGCTTGAGGAGAGGTTTGATATCAAAGGGGAGCTTCAATCCCCTAACAAGAAATGGGAAGTTGTCTACATGGATGACGAGGGTGACATGATGCTCGTGGGTGATGATCCCTGGGCGTGAGTCTCTCTCTCTCTGTCACTCACTCACTCACGAAAGAGTCGTATTCATCCTTTTATATTGTTTGGAAGTGTTCTTTTTTAATTTATATGCAAGATTTATTTGTGCAGGGAGTTCTGCAACATGGTTAGAAAGATAGCAATCTATCCATGTGAAGAAGTGAAGAAGATGACCAATAGAACCAGGCTTCATTGCTCTGAGGAGCCTGCAACCCCAACTTCGGAACACAAGACTGAATGATGCTCCTCTCTCTCTCTCTCTCTCTCTCTCACTGTTTTGTAACCAAGGCCCAGGCTGAAGAATAGGAGTTTCATAAATGACCAGGCTAATTTGAAGCTCGGTTTTAGAGGAGCTCAAGGGAAGTGAAGCTTTTAGGGATTGGTGGGTTCAGTATATATAAGAGGCTGAAACTGTGAATACGGTTATTTAGAGTTAGCTTTGGAGGCAGGAATTAGGGAAGGTTGCTTTATTGCCTCCTATTTTGTAAATAAGTTTGTGGATTTGAGTTTGGGATATATACACTTTTTGTGTATTTTGTTAGTGGAATGGAGGTTGGTTTTATGCAAGAAATGTGATTCCATTTGTCTTTACTGGTGTTAGCTTTTGAGAACTTTAGTTTGCATATGGTGTCGATTCTGCCTTCCCATCTTGACTGTGTTTCATTTAATGTGTGCACATGGTGAAATTACATAGTACCCCTGGCAATGGACTCGTTCGCTCAGCGCCAAAAACTAGGCCCGAGCCACTAAATTTGGCCCGAAGGGTTGGATTAAGCTTGACTTCCACCCACGTGCCTGACTACCACCTCAAGGTCTGTCCAGGCATGGGCTGTCCTACCTGTCGTATTTTTTTCTTATATTTTTATTTCAGCTTTTTATTTTTCTGAGTGCATTTGGTTGGCCTGGCCTTGGTTGGGTCGGCCCAAAAAATCTTGGGCTTGGGACTAGGGCCAGACTGCCAAGGCTCAGCGGCTGACCGGACTTGGGCTGTCCTGCCCAGCTGATTTTTCTTTTTTTGTTTTCTCCCCAGTTTTGTTCTTGGGAGTGCATTAGGCCTGGCCTGACCCAGATAAAGCCAGAGCCTCTTCGGCCTGTTTGGGCAGGGCATATGGCTGCTCTTTTGTGACCATCGCTGGGAGCTGTGCTAAGCCCGGCCAGCCCATTGACGGCCCTGTAGTGTGCTAGTGTGTACTCTACACGGTGGGAGGAAGAGGTGGATTTAAATCGGTGCCAGCCCTCTTGTATACGGTGTAAAGAACTCCACTGTGTATGGAAGGGGTGGATTTATCTCAACCATGCGTTGTTGAGAAACGGATGCTCGAGGCTTCGTGTGTGGTTTGTGTACATGTAATATGTATGATATCGTCATATAGGTTAGCTGACCATACATAGGGAGGCCTTGTTCGGATGGTAAATCTTTCGTTTCCTCCAACCATCTACTAGTGAAAATAGAGTTCTGCTTTGGCCCGGTCTTTTATGAGAAAATTTGTCGCCCTTTCGTCAATGAAACATGCTATTGCAAAAGGAATAAAACTAATTTTTTTTGATGAGCACCAATGCAACAGTTGTATCATAATATAATGCAATGACCTTTTTAGAAAATCATGTTTGTTGTATTCGTATGATCCCAAAATTTGCACACTTTTCATCTCAATAATCAATCCCTTCAAAAAACAAAAGTTCAATTTGAACTTTAAATATGGTCAAAATGAGTCCCCTTTCAAAAATGAATCTAGACTATTCATTTTGTGAATTTCAAGATCTTAACTTTCGTAGAATCAAAATCATTTTTTTCTTTTTTAACATTGTTCATCTAATGATAATAAAGTCATCCAAAAAATTGGAAATGAAGAAATTCTTCTAAAGCCTAGATCTAAACATCTTGTCAAATGAACAGCCTATGTTAATTGGATTAAAAAAATACTTTCAAAGTTGTGTTTTGAATTTTTTCTTTTTTTGTGATTGTTCATTAGAATGAAAATAATGTATATTTCAAAATTTGGATCAACAAATGGCCATAAAATGGTTTTTTTAACCTTGATACATCATATTACTATACAATAGTTGCATGATATCATTGCTCCTTTTTGATACCTTGTGTACAAGGGGACTATTTACTTACATCTACAAGGTCACAAACATCTTGAGCTTCATTACCTCTTATAAAAGTAGGTTCCAATTACTTAAAACCATCCGACGTGAAATTTGATAGCTTCAGGACATAAGCAAGTTTGAAACATTTTTGAGTTTTGAAATTGGTGGAATAAATATAGCCACCCCATTTCACATTCAATAGTTAATATTAACTGTTACCACCTTGTACAAAATGTAAGTTCGATAGAGCAAATATTCTACCTAAATATAACAATGGTTTGGGCAATGTACCATGTCGCAACAATATAGCTGCCGGATTGAAACAGATCCCATAAGTTTGGTAGGAGCTACCAGCTAGAAAATTAACAACCTTTTAAAGGCAGGAAAAGTCTACAAAGAGATCGTTTATTTTACTATTGTGTATTAGATTTCAAATCAAACAGTTGTGAATGCCACATTGACTAGACTCAAATTTCAAAAACTAAAATTCAAATTTCGGAAACTAAAATTCTCAAACTTTATGACGAACCCATGCCATCCAATTTGAATTCATATCGATTGACCTTAAATGGTCTCTTAATATTCAAAGCTCCTTTGAAGGTAATTATTTCCTTTTAGTTGAGATTGGTGATATTTCCTTAAAAGTCAATATTGCTTTCAATGGGGACCGCGCTTGGTTTCGATTAAAACTCGGGTCGACTCCAGCACTGACAAGTATTTCAAGAATAGTTAACAATGATTCGCTTATAATTAAAGAACACGGTTTTATGCGGCCAGTCGCATGTTGCAGAAATGCAAGCTTGACAATAAATATATTTTTTAAATATAATTTGGCCCTAATTTTTAGAGAACATATAATCTTTAACATGAAGATCATCAATATAAACAAAAAAAAAAAATAAAAATTAGAAATAATCATTATAATAAAAAAATATTTGAACCCTTAGGTACAATTGTTTTTAGATAGACCACCTATTTGCATTCGCCATTAAGATGGATGCTTTATACCGATACGGTTCACATATTGTAGAAATACGATCCAACCCGCATGCCACATGAAACAATTTTCCTTACTTAAAGTACACCCTATCCACCCTATCCAAAGTACAAAGTTCGACATAAAGTTACCAAAGATGAATAATAACACAAATAAAGCACCATCGCTTCTATCAAATGGAGCACATATAAGACACCCTCATCCTTTTATCATCTATCTTAGAAGGAAAAAGTTATGTAAGGAGTTAATCTTATACTCACTAGAGAAGGTTGTTCCTATGCTGGAAATCCTCAAATCGGTCATCTCGACCTTGAGATTCATAGGCATAAAAAAAGCATGATTTCTAATCCTAAAAATAGCTCATCTTCTAACACATTATATAGACGGTCTATTTTCAAGATTTTTAAGTGTTTGTAGATCTCTTTGGTAGTCACTATTTTTTAAACTTTAAAATTTATAATTGGGGTAAACAATATATTTTCATGTCATTGCATGGCTTTACAGCACTGAAACTACATTTTTCACATAATTTTGAGGTACACCTTACTTCAATAGTAAAAGGTTGACACTATATACAAACCTCACCCATCTTAGAATTAGGAGAGTTGTTTGGGATTGGCATGGGCTTTAACCACATGGGGTGAGTTTCTTGTTGCCAGCTCCTCAAGGGTAATTGTGTTTCCAGTCATCCCATGCTCTTGCCTTTCTCACTGCCGCATCATCTTCTTCTTCATCATCATTGCGTGGCCTATTATTACGGCCATCTCTGTATCACGACGAGTTGGCCTCCTCCATGAGTCTCTTGCCATTTCTTCATCATTTCCATTTCTCTCAACACTGCTTCTACAATGCTCATATGGCAATCCGATTTAACCAACAAGAGGGTACACATTCGATTATCTATGTTCTTTAGCACAAGTCTAGTGATAGAAAACTGTTGTAAGATGCAAGTGCTTATGAAAGCTACAAAGCAAGGCCTAGAATACTAGAAAGCACAATGAAATGTAAAAGAAAACAAATGGTCCATGGGAAATCAGAACAGTGCAGAAATCCAACCGAAAAAGGGTACAACTCATAGAAGACGAGTAAGAAGATTGAAAATCCCACGTGCGAAAAATAAATCTAAACAAATGACAAGAAATATGGAGAACTTATTAAAACAGACGGTTCTGCAATTAGAAGTAATATATTGATGAACTTAAGGGTCGTTTGGATACCTGAAAATATGAATTTGTAATGTATTACCTACAAATGAATTGTCATGAGAATTGCATTACCAACATTTTTTTTTTCTTTTTTTTGGCTTTATACCCAAAACATGATTGAGCGTACAATCCTATTAGAACGTAGCTTAAACTTTATAATTGCATCAAGCATATGAATTAACCAAACCTCTTTTGTATGCCTTTGCGTCTTGACTCGGAATCACATGTTTTCAAGATGTTAAAACTTTGGAATAAAGTACTTTTATTATGATAAGCCATCATATTTTTTATCTTTTCTTTTCTTCGGCTAAAGCCTTTCCATCATCTCTCTCCAGAAAACTTCTATGGGAGAAAAAATTTGACTAATAACCTAGAAGACTTTGCGACTGAATGAGATGTATTGGAGAGAAATTACATTGGGGCATGGCATATGAGATGTATTGGAGAGAAATTATATTGGGGCATTGGAGGAGATTAAAGAAGTAAACTAAGTTTAAAAAATTCTAAAAAAAACAATTCAAGCCTATTGATTTGACAATTCTCTGTGAGTGAACTCAAGTATTTCAAATTTATCAACAAACAATAACAGTAAAAAAGAAAAAATAAAACCAAAAAAATAAACAGACAGATTTTAATAGAAAACCCAAATCCGTTTATTTTTATGGAACAATAGCAACAACTGAACCAAAAAAATGAAACTTGGATATCTGAAAACAAATAATAACGTAAAGAGCTAATTAAGAAAATGGGATTTTGAGATATATAAAGGAGCTAAGAAGATGGGGCTGATTTGCTCAACATCATAGTTATAATTAGCAAACCAATTTTTCTATCAAAATTATATTTCTTGAAATTCACCAGTATGGAAAGAAAGCTATGTAGCTATGGCAGCTAGTTGAATTTTTTTTTTTTTCTTGTGGTTAGGAAGGGATTTTTGGATAGTAAAAATCACATACATATGAGATTGACGAGATTTTCTCCAATTACGCGTCAAGTATATAAAGGACGTAGCTATTGCTGATCCACCAAGGGAGTTATTGCTGCGTGTTAAAGATTTTTTTTTTTGTGGTTTATTAGGAGGTGAATAATGGGATTTTTAAGTAGCGAAAATCACAAAAGATTTCTTCCGATTATAGAGAAGCCCTAATATATTTCCTGATTTTTGGATAAATGTCGAGTAATCTTTTTTCATTTCCTTACTATTAAAATGTACACAAACAATCGAAATATCATATTTTCATGTAATATATTATCAGGTAATAGATTTCCATGTTCCAAACAGCCCTTAGTCAATTTGATAAGATCTAAAATTTCCCCAAAAAAACAAAAAACAAAATCACCAACAATGAAGGTACTGCAACGTGGAAATAGAGGGTAAATGGTTAATTAAGCGAAAATTGCTACACCCATGATAGTTTCAGGAACCCCCTCAAAAGGCTTGCTATATCCACCCAAAACATGACATATTGTTTGCTCGTATACTTAATAAATAAGAGAATATTCAAGCGTCCTTTCTGAAGTATTTCTTTACGACTGGGACTATGAATTACTTAATAAACAAGAAATGCCAACTTGGATGCCATGACTTGGGACTATGAATTACGAGATACAAGTAGGATTTTTGAAGTATTTCTTTTTCAGAAATTTATCAAAATGCACCTCACTTGCAATTAGTTAACATTTTACACCTTTTCTACTATTCCAACTCAAAATTATGTGTATTTTTATGGGTATTTTGAGATTAGATCAAAACACATGGGTAAAATATCAACTATTTGGTATCTCAAGTGCATTTCGACAAATTTTGCTTTTTTTTTTTTTAAAGTACTTACGAGATCAATTAGGAAAACCAACCTGTAACCAGGCTGAAAGACCTGGGCAGCCATCCTCTCCTTTTCGGTAGTCAAGTTCCCACTTATGAGGCTTGCAGGTCCAAATGTCAAAGGTTGATGCCTGTGCTCATGGGCTTCAGAAGCCTTTGCTCCGCCTTCCAAAACATCTAGGGCGAAAGTGGCACATGTGATGGGCAGTGCTGGTTTTGAGAACCGTGCTTGGTTAGCAGCCTTTCTATGCCACATTTACGCTCTTTTTGCATGCTCATCTAGGATTTCCTGGTTTATTTCTTCATTTCCATCCTGCTATGCCAGTTTCAAAGGTTCCTTTATGTTCTAAACTAAAACAATAACGAAACCAATGGATCTATAGTTTGTAAGACTAACACCATTAAATGACAAGTTCTATGGAATTTGTAACCCTAATAACTTATTTTTTAACATATGTTCTTTATTTAATGGACGATCCCTAGAGGTTAATGGTCTGACAAGTACCACTAAATTGTCCTTGGCATTTGAAAGGAATGTGTGGAAATATCACACAGATATCTTCCAAATGAGTCGTCAGAGAATGCTAAACCCAACATTGATACTTTGAGGGCCTGTTTGGATGTTAAATATTTTAATCTGTAATGAACTATCGAATAACCTATCTTATCTGAAATTAATATATACTCTGGATAATATTATGTATGTTGTATCACATAGAACACTATTTAATTACCTTTTTTTTTTTTTGTGACATTCAGCTATTTTTAGCTATTTCTGGCTAAAAAATGCCATCTTTTGTAAATTTTTTTAATAAAGTAAAAATCACTTTTAAAAAAGATAAATTTATATGTACAACTGTCTATAAGTTTATCTCAGATAACTTTATATGGACACTGCCAAACAATAGATATTATCAGAATTAATTTTATTGAAATAGTGAATTATCAATGATACTGCATACATCCAAACATGCCCAAAGAATCAGTTAATATTAGAGATACTTCATACACAAAGTGCTAAAAGCCCCTGTGGCAGAAAGGCGATCTTAATTTGGAAAGCCAAGTTATATTGATTTAGCAGCCTATGTGGTTGTAGCAATCCTTTCTTCTAGACCTTGGCAAAAAATAACAAATAGGCACAGGACAATGCTATCGCAGAACCATTAAATTCATATTCTTTTCTTCCAGATACTAGTACCTGTAATTGCTTTTGCCTTAGAGCAGATAGCATTTATTCCTCCTTCAACATGTCAAGCAAATCAAAGGCCTATACCGTAAGAATGAGAGAAGACATGTGGTAAGTCACAATAGAAAGAAGAATTATAGTAAGCATTCAGATTCAGTTATGCATGTCTGCCAGCACGCGTGAGTTGTGGAAGAAACAATGTGACCAACCTTACAAAGCGCCAAATATATGGTAGTAAGCCATGCCTGCAATCACAAAGCAACTTATTGTTGTAGGGAATTTCATAAGTTTGATTGCAGTAAGTCAACACGATCTCCCTTCTATAAGCTTCCTAAGAGAATATTGAGTCAATTCAGATCAAATGTTTCAAGTTGCAACAAATAAAAAAACATAAAATAAATGTTGTATATTTTCAAAATATTCCACATTTGGATGCTATATGTATGTTAAATCTGATATGCCAAACATCAATAGCATATACTTCTTTCCCTGATCTCAAAGGAAGAAAGTTGAAAATGTCATCATCATCAATCTCAAAATCAGACATAACTATGAATTTTTTTATGAATAACCTCCAAAATAGATTACTATGGATTGCAAACAGCACATAAAACTTAGTGCCTTTGGAGAAAAGAATTCACAATCTTATGGGGCTTGGGAGAGTTCCTGGAAGTTAATTTCGGTCATCACCTATTCTGTACATGGATTGCAACACTGAGTTTTTCTTTCACTAGAGTTGGGGCAAGACAATAATAGTGATTGCAAAGTCGGCCAAGTAGTTTCCTACTCGGCAGAGTTAGTCGGGCTCGGGCCCTTGCCAAGGCCGAGTTGGGTGTTCAACTCGTGGATATTAAAAAAACAATTTGAAAAAAATCATAAAAAATCTTAAAAATAAGGAATCTGTTTGGGATATGTTTTTTTATGTTTTCTATCGTTTTGGCAAAGATTGGAAATTGTTTTGTTCGTAAATACTTATTTTTACATTTTCCCATCTTCTTTGGATTACTTTGAAAATACCCCCAGTGACAGTTGATTTTTAAAATCTATGTTTTTATTACTTTTTTAATATTATTTTGAAGTGTTTTACTTAATCTTACTTTAAACATACATTTCCTATAATTTTGGATTTCTTTTCTATATTTTTTATAATTTGTTGACCTTTTTTTTCAGCTACAGTAATCGGCACTAGTCGAGCTTAGTTACTCAGACTTGGCCTGAGTAATTGGCTCGGGCCAGGACCGATTACTTGGTCCAACCCGCACTTTCTAACACTGGACAATAAAGATCTAATTACTCAGACTTGAAGTAGCATAAAATGCTCTTTAATTGTGGACCAATTGCACCTCGGGATAGTGTAACTTTGATGGTCATAATTAACCTCCAAATGTCCTTCATCTGAACATGTTAGATTGTGAACCACCTTGCAACCTACAATGGTATCAATAAGAATTAACAAGATGAAGGGATAATAAGGGGACAATTCAAGTTAGATGGATATGCCAAATTCTCAACAAATCTAAGTGATAAGTGGCTGATAGATTCTTCTGATTTCTCAAAACTCGGCATTGCAATTATTTGATGTCTTCAGAAGTTTCGAAGAAAGTCAGAAAATGCAATTATTGATTGAGTATAATGTGGACTAGCATCATCTCTAAAGCAGACTAAGAACATGGATTTTATTACAACAGCTATCTAATACTAACTAATAAACAAGGAAAAATAAACGATAAGCTGATGAGGGACTTCTAACACCTCTATCGTAGAACAGAGAAATAAATGGGACTGATTCATGCCTTTTTCTCACTTCGTGCAACAAATGTATCTGGTCTCTCTTGAACAGAAGTCAGTTCCTCTTCGGGCACAAGTTCTAGCCTTTCACAAACTGAAATGAACTCCTGCAATTCAAACCACAAGGAAAAGGCCACTTCGAAGCAAATACTCAGCGACGCTGAATGTGAAAGCAAGAACAGTGAAGCGAACAATATCTAGGCTCCTGATATTAAACCAAATCCTAGCAATTAAACCTGATAATACTCGTCAGTAGAAGATTTACCTTCAATCTCATTTGGGAAATCTTAAGAGCCTGAATCCTGTCAGACTGTGCAACTTTTTCTGTCACTCCCCGAGATAGAAAGGAACCTGATAACAATTATGCATTGTCATTCATAAAAGTAAAACTAAACATAAAAAAAACAGAAATTCGACAAAAGAAAAGCGTAACATCAGACTGGAATTCAGGACTTCACATTCTAGAAGTTTAATAGAAACTTAGAACTGTTTAAGTTTAGGATTCTTTAGCAAACATGTTGAAGAAAAAATGTTGTCAGATTCGCTACGAGTTTTCTTCGGGTTTGGTGAGAACGATGAAGCATTTCAGTGCTGCGGCCGATTCGAGGGAAGACTTCAGAATTTTTCTTTTAATTTAATATAAATAAATTAGATATTTATATATAAATTATGTAAAATACGAAGATGATAAATGTTTGGGTATTTCATTTGGCACCAACGGTTTAAAACTCGGCTGAGTAACATGAACTTGGCACCTTGCCGAACCGAGTTCCTAGGTACAAACTTGGTTATATAAAAAAAAGATATAAAAAATCATAAAAATTAGGGTTTTTTTACTTAATCAATGTATAAATTTTATATATAATTTTGAAGTTTTTGCTGATGAATTGTGAGTTTTCCTTATCATATGCCATATTTTTTTAATTTCTCCTTTTTTAATTTTCTGCAGAGTGCAGTTTGTATAGAGCCAAGGCTCTAAACAATCAAAGTAAAGTGCACCTTCAAATAGTATCGAGGAATGTAGTTTCAATACTGAAAATCTTTGTGAAAGCCTTAAAATATATTTTCAGCTTTAATTATAAAATTTAAAGCTTAAAAATAGTGAAGATTGCGCAGATCTATGAAAACTTGAAAATCTTAAAAATTGACGGTCCAAAAATGCATTACAAGATGCACTACTTCCAAAACTTGAAATCCATTTTTTTATCATGTCCATCCATCTTGGTGTCGAGATAATCAATTTGAGGATATTTGGGCATCAAAACAACCTTTCCTAGTGAAATTTTGAGATGGGCTCTAATTTGACTGTTTAGAGCCTTGGCTTTAAATTAAATTTTTTTCCTTTTCTGAAAAGCTAGCTTTAAATTAATTTTTTTTCAATTTCAACCTTTACATATTTTTTCCATCTTTTTCGATCTTTAGTTGTTGTTTGCAGTTTATTTTATTTTTGCTTTTTTTTTTCTTTTTCAACAAATTTTTTGATCATTTCTTTGATTTTTTTTTAAGCCCTTTTTTGGGCTTGTACACCTCTCAGGTGAGTCCACACAACTTGGGTGAATCCAATAGGAGTCGCCCAAGTATTCATCTTGGGCAGGGCCAAATTCCTGAACCCAAGCCGACTAACTAACCTTGTTTGGCACATAGTATGATATGATTATGTGAAGTCAAAACTGATGACTTCACAGAATTTCTGCTGTTTGAAAACCTGTCTCATGACCTGCACTTATCGTTGTTGTCGAACTCATGAAATTTGGAGATCTTATCTGTAAAAGCCTATCATCATTCTTATATGCTTTTGACCAAAGAAGTCATATACACATATACAATCTGTGAATCATAAAGGCACTGCACATAAAGGAACCTGAATAGATCTCTTGTATGCATAGTGGAATAACAGTCCCTCAGTTGACACATACCATATACTACAGAAAGACCAGTCATTCATGCTATTTGCAAGGCCTCTCCATTGTCTTTTTAAGGTGAGCTGGGATGGACAAATTCAAGTTTACAACAAGTAAGATCTAAATAAGCCACAGGCCTGAACCTACGGGCTTTTCCTTCTGAAACTATAGGCGCTTATAGCCAGTACAAAGCACAAACCATTTTCTCCTTGTAACTTCTGAAAGAAATTCTCTAAATAATCAAGATTTCATCCAGAAATTTGTTAAGCAGGGTCAAAGCTTACGGTTGCGCTTTGTAATTTACCAAGCCTTACGGCTTTGCAACCTGATGACATTGCTAAGGGGTCTATATCACCGTCTTCCTCACCATGAGTTAGTGACTCGACAACATTCGACCATATGATTGAATCTACAACTATAACTAATAGTTCTAACCAAATATTAGTCTAGAACTAACATTATTGTTGGAAATAAGTGTGTATTCACATTGTCAAAATAGGAGTATGTTTGTGTTAAATCAAGACCAAGAACACCAAATATTTCGGATGATAATTCCAATTGTTGAAGCATCGAGTCATTTGTTCCAAGTGGGGGATTGTGGGTATATTCCAAGGAATAGTAAGAGCCTCGCATGACTTGACATACCTGTTGACTCCATATAACTCATTTCCAGTCAATAGTAGAAAGATGAACATTATGTCCTTAGTAACTTGCCAGGGCTGGGGAAAGGAAAGATGGTCCTCATATCTTCAAATATAGAAAGGCAATCACCTATAGCGAACGGAGGATAGTCTTTGACTTCAACTATTAGGCACAACCTGAGAGTAACCTTCAATAAGCCCTTAAAAATCCTCGGCTGAAAGCAAGATGTGTGCAAGCCCCAGGTAAAAGTCCAGGAAACTTAAGACTTTAAATCCAAAAGAAGCACACTGGTGTTCCCTGCATATAATACAATTTCATTTGATTTGGATCATGAGCAATTGTGGTATGGTGAACCCATTTTATGAGCCTAAGGACACAAGCCAAGGCGAGTTGTATCTTGGGGTCTGCTCTGGGAACTCTCGTTCAAAATACCCAGTTAACCACTAGATAGAGAGGGCTTATTGACCTCATGTCTAGACAGGCTCTGCTTTGAACCTCCCTGTGTGGCCTTGAGACCCTAGAAGAATCCGGACTGTCCAAAGGCACAAGTGCCTGTTTCTTTCCCTAAACTAAAAGTAGTTCTCTGGTTATTGTTTTGCAGGCAGCAGAAAACTTAGAAATTGTATAAGCTGGTTCTTGATAATGTTACATCGGATTTAAGTGAAAATTTGCATCCTAGAGGGAACCCGAGTCTAGTTGATATACACAAAATTTCAACTCAAACTGATTTGTAATTTGTGAGAAATTAATGAATAAGATATTGCTTCCGCTATATAACTGCGATTTTCAGATGACTCGCATTCTCTCAAGGGCAACACAGTCTGCTAAGTTGCAGCATGGCAAGAAGGGACTTCAACTAGGAACAAGTTAAGCTAGAGAAGTTGCATGGCGTGCACTTCCCCTTGTGGCAGTAAAAGCTTAAGTTCATTCTCACTACACTGAAGGTTTTCTACAATGTTATAGAACTAGTCCAGGAGAGATCGAGGAATGTGTGGTCTGCTGCAACCTCAACCACTTCAGCCAGGTTGAACAAATGGAGAGAGGATGATTACACCTACAGCGGAACCATCCTTAACAGCTTATGGGATAGACTTTTTGAAGCCTATGCTGATGTTGAAACCGCAAAGGAGTAGTGGAAGGTTTTGGAGAGGAGATTCAATCATTCCTTAGCAGAAACAAAGTCTATGCTGCTGGTTGATTATTTATGCCATAAGATGGATGATTCAAATCCCATTTCAGAGAGCTTCGAGGTTATGTATACCACGGAGGTGGACCTGAAATTAATGAGCACTTGTCCAAAGAGCAGCAGATTGCTCCCCCTATTAATGCCTTACCTCCTTTGTCAGAGGGGAATGCTTGGTGATCGAAGAAAAGGCATGGAAAACTCAACATGGGAGTTGACCTCAGTATATATGGCTGTGGAAAACAAGAAAGATAAATGGGAAAAACAAGGGAGGCCTCAAGCCTCTCAAGGAAAACAGTTGGCTCAGTCAAAGGGCAAACCAGCTGACTTCAAAATGAAAGTCAAGTGTTCATGGTGTGGTAAACTTTGACATTTCAAGCGTGATTGCAAACTGAAAGTCCAAGAAGAAGCAAAGCTCACATTGTCAAGGAGACACATGTGATTGTTGAAGTCCTGAACGCTGAGAAGGAAACCGACTGGTTCGTGAATTCAGCGGCCATGAAACACCTGCTACGATTGTGAGCTGTTGTCTTCTTTTGAGGAGACTCGCAATTGGGAGGTGCATATGGGAGATAACTCCTCTTCTCGGGTGATTGGTGTAGGCAATGTAACAATCTCTCTCCTCACCAGACTTTGTTGTTAAAAGAAGCACATCATCTCGTGAATCTTGCAATGCTGTAAAGCTTTCAAAGACTAATTTTAAAACATGCATTCGTGCATCTGCGTTACTAAAAGTGACACATACTGATAAATGTCGAAAGCTTCCAAGGTCAAGTGGGGGTAGTGGATATTCAATTTATTGATGACTATTCAAGGTACTCTTATGCGTACCAATCAAAGTTAAAGTCTAAGGCTTTTTCATTTGTGGAATACCAACTGGAGGTCAAAAATCAGCTGGAAAGGAAAGTTAGTGTTTTCAGGAGTGAAAGGCGAGGAGAATACTATGTCCGATGAGTTTGAAATGGTTTGTAAGGCACATGGCATCATTCACCAAACCTCATCTCCCTCCATACCGCAACTAAATGGTCTGGCTGAACAAAAGAAACTCAACCCTATTAGAAATTGTCTGATCCATGATTTTGTTTTCCAGTCTTGATTGTAGCCTTTTGGATGAAGCTTAACAGTTCGCCAATCATGTCTTAAACCACATTCCTTCCAAATCTTTAAATTCTCTCCACATGAGAGATGGACCGATGGGATTCCTAATTTCAGTTACTTGGTTGTGTTGCACATGTTCTCATCCCAACAAACTTAAGATCCAAGTTAGACCCAAAAACAACTCATTGTATTCTCATTGGATATGAGAATGGAACCAAGGGTCATAGACACCCTGATTTAGAGACCAATAAGATTATTATTAGTCGGGATGCTCGCTTCCTTGAAGATGAATATGTTGGTCATTCCAATGGCGTAAAAACCCAAGGCCTTAAGGTTCTGGATAAGGCTGAGGCCCCTTCCTCCTCCTTACTCTTTGGACCTTTGAAAGAGCCTCCACTCCTATGGAGGAGTTCTAGACTTTGAAAATGACCAGACTTCTTTGCCTTCTTCACTGACTTCGAAAATGATCCATTGACATAATCTATGTCATGGAGTCTTGATAGCGACAGGTGGAATGGAGCATTACAAGAGGAGATAGGAACCATCATAAGAAATGGAAGTTGGGAATTGGTGGATCCATCGATAGGAGTGAAGCCATTGCGAAACGAGTGGATTTTGAAAAAGAAGCTGAACTAGAAAAGTACAAGGTCAGGCTTGTTGCAAAAAGGCTTCTCTCAAGGCATGGTATCAATTTCAAAGATACCTTCTCTCCAGTCACAAGTACCACAACATTTAATGTCCTAGCTGCAATAGTAGCCTATTTAGACTTGGAATCAAATCGGTTAGATGAAGACAACATTTTTGAATGGTGATCTTTAGGGGTGTCAATTGCGTCGAGATGACCAAGGTCATCCTGCGGACCTAGGTAAACCAATCTACATATATATATGCAATATATATATATATATAATTAATTAATTATAAAATTTATATTTTATGAAAAGTATATTATTATTTTTAAATCTTGGTCCAAAGACCCAAATGGGTAGGTAGGGTTGGGGTCCAAATAATCCTACACCCAATCTGGGTCGGGGTCTAACTTAGATGCAATTGGGTCGAGTTTGGGTAGGGGCTGACCCAACCCATTTATAGCCTTAGTGATCTTGATGTAGAAGTGTATATGAAGCAGTCAAAAGGATTCATCAAGGAGGCAAGGAACACAAGGTGTACAGGTTGCTCAAGTGGTTGAAGCAAGCACCAGGGAATTGGTATGAATAGTTCACTACTACACTTCTCAGGTTCGGTTCATATGTGTGACGTTGATTCATGTTTATTCAAGAAAATAAGAAGGGGTTCTGTTTTGATGCTTATTATATATGAGGATGATATGTTACTAGCTAATAGTTAACAGATTCCCCCAAGAAAAAAAAGGATGATTTGGCACTAGCTAGGTGCTTTCGGATCATGTCAAAAACTGGTTGAGCTAAATGCCGGAATACATCTTGGGAATCAAGATAGTACGAGATCAAGAACGCAAGCTATTTTGACTATTGCAATCTCCTTACATTCAGAAAGTGGCAGCACAAACCCAGTACGAGATCAAGAACAAACCCAGTACGAGATCAAGAACGCAAGCTATTTTGACTATTGCAATCTCCTTACATTCAGAAAGTGGCAGCACAAACCCAGTACGACACCTGTTAGGAGGTGCGAGTTGGTTTAAGTGGAAGGCTAAAAAAGGATAAAGGGTAGGCCCAAAACGACATGGTTAGAAGCAGTGAGAAAAGATATAGGAACTTATAGCCTCACTGAGGGTATGACCCTTGATAGAGCAAAATGGTGGGACCAGGATTCGACCCTAAATAGTTGGGAAAAGGTTATGATGATGATGATGATGATGATAGGTTCTTTGATGTATGTTATGACTTGCATCAGGCTTGACATTTCCTTTGCAGTTAGTGGGACCAGAAGGTATTCAAGTAATCCTGGAAATCAGCAATAGGATGCTGTAAAGTGCATGATGACGTATCTTCAAGATATCTTTCAGTATGGACTGCATTCAAGGGATTAGCACATAGAAGGGTAATGCAGATTGGGAAGGGGGCAATGACAAAAGCTTCTCCACCCTCTAGTTGGTGGTTCACCTTGGGCTAGTGGGGTTGTCTCTTGGTGTGGTAAGAGATGGGACCTGCTAGCAAAGTCCACCATGAAAGCCAAGCACATGACATCACTAGAAGGAGTTTGGTTGTTAGCACATAGAAGGGAAATGCAGATTGGGGAGGGGGCAACGACAAAACCTTATCCATCCTCCAGTTGGTGGTTCACCTTGGCTAGTGGGGTTGTCTCTTGGTTTGGTAAGAAATGGGACCTGCTAGCAAGGTCCACAATGGAAGTTGAGTCTATGAACATGACATCACTAGAAGCAGTTTGGTTGCTAAATCTACTGCCTGATTCCATATGAGGTTCATAACAGTCCAGGGTTAACACTATTTTGTGATAATCAAGTGTCCATTGCATTAGCAAGGAACAATAGATGAGGTGGAAGGAAGAGCACATTGATAGATTTTATCACACGATAAAAGTGTGTGTGAGGCAAGGGGTATTGGTCCTCCCACAGGTTTGATGGTGGCCGACATCTTGACCAAGGTAGTTTCCCAGGGTCGCTTGGAGAAACACAGAGAGGATGGGCATTGTACCCCTAATCTGATTTTTCTCTTTCTTGGTTTTGTGATAACGTATATACAAGTACTAAAATATATAGTGAAATAATCATGGGGAATACTGGCACCCAATCATTCATGCTGTATGGATCATACATCAGGATGAAACCCTATTCAATAGTCTAATCATAGATCAAAGGGATGACAAGATCCCAAGAATTGCCTAGGAATTTGCTTTTATGCACAACATATGGAAACATAATGAGATTGGAGAGGGTCCCACTTTTATCACTAATCCACATCTTGGAGGCCAGAACAAAACCCAACTACAATAGTCCGTTCATGGATACACCCATTGGGGATAGTTGCAGTACGTCCCATATGGAATCCTGTTGATCAACCAAGTGGTTCAAAGAGATAACAAGCCTTTACATGACAGATGGTCCGTTGGCACGCTGCCTAAGTACAATGATTGGAGGGTCCAATCATTTGGTTGAAGAGGGGCATTGTTGGTATATTCCAAGGGGACCTTGTATAACTAAACATACCTGTGTTTAGGGCTCATCATGGGTGGTTTAATAAAGTCATTTCCAAGCAATAGTGGAAGGGTGGACACGATATCCTTAATGACTTGCCTAGGACGATGGTCCTTATGTCTTTGAACATGGAAAGACTGTCACCTACTGTCAAGGGAGGATAGTCTGACTTTAACTGCTAAGTGCAGCCTGAGAGTGACCTTGGATAAGCCCTCAAGAAGCCTTGGCAGAAAGCAAATCGCGTGCAAGTCTTTGTGAAAGCAAGGGAACCCAAGATTAAGATCCATAAAAAGCACACCTGCATTTAGGGCTCATCCCCGGTGGCTCTGTAAAACTAATTTCCAGCCAATAGTAGAAGGGCGGGCACTATGTCCTTAATGACTTGCCAAGGTTGGTGAAAGAACCGATGGCCCTTATGTCTTTGAACATGGAAAGGCAGTCACCTATACCCAAGGGGAGGATGCTCTTTGACCTTGACTATTAGAGGCAGCTTGAGAGTGACAATGGTAAGCCCTATAGAAGCCTTGGATTTCAGGGCAGCTAGATTTCAGAACCATAAAAATCACATCGGTTTCCCTGTGTATAGTACAATTTTCATTTGAATTGGTTCACAGGCAATAATGGAAGAGTACAAACCAGCAGACACTTTAGGAAGAGAGAGATTCTTATGAAAGACTAAGAAAGTCTGATCAAACTCTGTTTCCTACCTCTCTAGCTCCTGCCGCTCCAGCTCCCACCTCTCTGGTCTCCCTCCAGCAAAACCAACTTGGATAGTAGGTTCAATTTCCAATAAGACTAATTGACAACCTTGAACTTTTAGACATCTAGTAGAAAAAAAAACTCTCTAAACGTGGATGGCCTGGAGCAGGCTTTCCTATTGGGAAAGAAAATCAATGATTACTAGTATGACAAGAGCCAAGTTTTATTGGCCAGATGTCACTTGCATTAAGCAAGGAAAGACCAACATCTCTTGGAGGAGCAAGGAAGACCTTGTGTCTGTTACACCCAGGACTAACATGGAAGTACAAGAGACCACCTAGAAATTACACAGAGGTGTGGCGAACCCACTTTATGACCTTAAGGACTCAAGCCAAGGAGAGTTGTATCTTGTGCTCTGCTCCAGGAACTCTTTTTTACCATACTCGGTTAACCACTGGATAAAGAGGGAGAATTGACCTTAAGGCTAGATAGGCTCTACCTACAATACCAAACTGTCCCGAAAGTGACGATTCCTTTCTCTAAAATTGAAGTTTTCTATGTTACTGTTCTGCAGATAGCAGAAAACAGGGAACTTTTATAAGCTTGTTCTTGACAATGGTAAATAGTGGAAGGAAATTGAGTCTAGTTGATGTACACAAAATTTCAGCTCAAACTGATCGCTAGTTTGTGAGAAATTAATGAAGGAATATTTTTTTCTTTTTTTTTGAAACTACAAGGATTAGTATTTGTTAGTCAGGGGACGCAGTAATTAGACTGCATCCATCAATGTGCCAAACATCCATCTTTGACTTTGAGATGGATTATAATAATTTGGTGCCTCCACCAAAAACTAAAAAAAAACGGTATTAAAAAGAAATCGCACTTTTAAATCTTAAAATTTATTCATTTTTATTTTATTTTCTTGGGATTCACGATCATCATGGTCAAGATTATCAACATCTAAATTTTTGGAACCCAAATCCATCACTAAGATGGATTTTAGAAGGACACATGTAAATAGATGTTGGCTGACTCACCAAAACCATATCCATTTATGAATAAGTGAGTACTGCCACTACATCACTACAATTTCCAGACATCAATCCATTCTTCCTAAACCCCCATGACCAACAATTTCCCCTTAAATACGAAGGCACCGCTGACCATTGTGTCATTAAGTTGGCTCCCTATCGATCCAGTAACTTTATTTTCACCTTCTATGTCAAATAGTTGGGAAAAGACTCTGATGATGATGATGACATCAACTTTTTTACTGATAAGGGCCATGCTTGCTTATACATATGATTTCATCCATATTAATATATTCCCAAATACTTATAGGGAAAAATATTAAAATAAAAAAACAGAATCGCAAGAGTAGTTAGCAACCATAACCATCTTATGTTACATAATGCCATGATTTGACGTTATACCCTACAAAACCAGGAGCAATCCTAATCACGAGTTAACATCTTAAAAGAGAAGACTACAAAGAAAAATAAAAAATAAAACATACAGAAAATAAGTATTTTCAATCCTGGAATTTGAGAAAGTACCAGCAAATACTTTAATCAGTTGTACTAATGTCCTCCTTTAACTCGTTTGATGAGAATAGTCCCAGCTTGCTTATCATTTCCTCACAATGCTCCAATGCTTCACATGCCTTCTTCAAACTCGCCTACAAACCAGAAAAATTTCAAGTTCCTCAAGATTCAGTTATCCACTACGAATAACAGATACACTTAACAAAGAAATGGCTATCAATCTAACGAATAAACCAAGTAAAATCTAAAAATTGAATGGAAATTCAAATAAGATTTTTTTTGGAAAGAACAAGAATTGATACAATCTGGGAATTGAATCCCTCTCATAAGACTCTTTCCCGATAAATGATACATCCCTACGATAATTTCTTATAAAAAAAAATACACAAAGAAATGTTCACAATGATCTCCAAGACTAACCAAAAAAATAAAACCTATCTATATGCAGACTTTCTCCAAATTCAAATCCTCAAAGAGCATTTTTGTAAAATACTGAAAGGAATACAAGTTACCAAATTCTAGTGAATAACTAGACTGTAACTAGAGTATTATTATCAATATTTAAATGAAATTATTCTTTCAGAGATTTCCTAAACAATCAGTTGAAATAAACTGTTTTTACAGCACAATTGGATCTCACGAACTAAACACTAATAACATGATTACTGCAGAAATTAAATCAATGGAACCAATACATAAACACATGAAAGAATAATAAATAAATCAGCAAACTCACCGGATCTGCAGTCTCTACTGTTGCTATGGTGTGTACTTTTCGAGCCTGCTCAAATAGAGCAGGAAGAGACATATCCTCCAATTTCGATTCTCCCATCTCCAGATGAAACCCTAATCAAAATGGTGGATTTTTACACGATAAAACTATGCAAATTTACATAGTTGGAATAAAATGGAGGAAAAAATAGGGTTAGAAGCAATGGACAAAGATTGTATTATATAAGGAAACCGTATGATTGCCCTACCCGAAGTAGGTATTTAAGTTAGGGTGTGGTTTCTATAAGGCTGCAACCTTAAACAATCCAATTAAGGTGCACCTCCAAATTTAATCATAACATGTAATTCTGGTCTAAAAAATTCGTAAGATTATCTGAAAATCTATTTTCATATTTAATTATAAAATTTTAAACTCCAAAAATAGTTTAGATTTATAAACATATGAAAAGCTTGAAAGTGGATGGTCTAGATAATTATAAAATTTTAAACTCCAAAACTAGTTAAAATCGAGTAGATCTATAAACATATGAAACGCTTGAAAATTCTTAAGATGCACTTTTTCTGGGACTCAAAATCCATTTCTTTTTTCATATTCATACATTTCAATGTCCAAATGATCAATTAGAGGGTTTTTCAACAATAAAACAACTTTTTCCGATGGATTTTTGAGGTGCAACCTTATATAACCTTTTTTCTTTAAGTTATTTTATCTGTTTTAAAAGCCCTAAAAGTGGATAAAAATGAAGAATTTGAACAACATAAGTAACCAGAAGCTTCACATCATTTATATGTTCGTGCTCATGGCAAGAGAGTATAACAAAAATATCCACAGCAGGTAAAAAATACCGGCGGATGAAAGCGACAGGGGCCACACTGAGATAGTACAGTGCACCAGCTATATTGGGATTTAAGGCAGAAAATAATAGATGAAGAGAAAAGGTAAATTGTTTCATGAGGGCGGGCCTGCATTCCCACATGAAGCCTACGCCGTCCAATGTAGATTGATCATGGCCTGCAATCTCCACCATCTAACTAAGTAGGTTTCGTGCGGGCATGTGGGCCTGCCCACATAGAAACTGCATCCACATAGAAAGTACAATTTATTACTCACAAAATGAATTGAATTGGAAAATATAACCAAGTTCAGAATCTCAATAAGAGCAAATTTATCTATAACTAAACTTGAACACTTGCAAGTTTTCTCAAAACTCCATGGCATAATTTTGCAACTCAAAGGAGTATTTCTAATTCTGGATAGATTTGTAATATAGGTTTTTTTTTTTTTCTTTTTGTAGAGTTGGTTAATTTTATTATTCCACTCATATACGACTCTCTCTCTCTCTCTC